CAATCCCTTCTCCTCCTGGGATTTTGGGCATGCACACACATGTGTCTGCTGTGATTTTCAAGCTGCTGGGTCCTGGACTCAAACCATGGTTGGCCATGTGACAGTCCACGACCTTAACTACTATGCCACTTGCTGGCCCCAGAATAAAAACTTTAAAGGAACTGAGCTAGCCAGTAGCATGGTGGTTAAGATGGCTAAATCCCACACGGACAACTTTATAGTTCAACTCCCAGACATGGCGGCTTAGAAAAAACACAGAGCAGGAGCAGCAGTTAGCGTAATGGTTATGTCGCTGGACTCCCACATAGTCAACCGCGGTTCGAGTCCTGGACCCAGTGGCTTAAACTCACACCAGGCGCGTGTGCATGTGTGCCCAAGATCCTGAGAGGAGAATGAAGGAGAAGGGATTGCGGTGTGGCCATCACCCCGGGAGGTGATTTCTTGCTTTCTATCTCTCTGTCTGCCTGGTGAGCGCATGCACCCTATAGCAAAAAAAAAAAAAAAAAAACTCAAAAAAAAAAAAGAAAAAAAGAAAAGAAAAAACACAGAGCATGTGTGCGTACGTACCCCAAATCCCAAGAGAGTGAAGGGATTACAGTGTGGCCATCCCTCCAGGTGATTTCACACTCTGTCTCTGGTGAGAGCACACACACCTATAGCAAAACACACACACACACAATCGACAACAAAATTTGGGACCAGCAGATGGCATAATGGTTATGTCATCGGACTCCCACATAGCCGACCACAGTTTAAATCTCAGAAATGGCAGCTTAAAACTCGCACTGGGTGTGTCTATGTGCATGCCAAAATCCTGAGAGGATAGAGAAGGGGTTGCAGCATGGCTATCCACTCCCCGCAGGAGGGGAGCGATTTTTTACTATTTCTCTGTCTCTGGTGAGTACATATACCCTGTAACAAAAATTTCTCTTGGAAAAAAAAATAAACTTTAAAGGAGCCACTCCCACTTAACCACTAGGCTAGTGGATAAGGGAGCCAGATACCACATGGCTGATATTCAAGTCCCAGCCCCAGTCCCAGTGACGTGGGAAGCACACTACTTAAGAGTGTATGAGCACCCAAAATTCAAATATGATGAAGAGGGGCAAGCAGGTGGTGTGATGGCTGAGGCAGTAGACTCCCATATGTCCAACCATGGTTCAAGTCCTGGACCTGGCGGCTTGCTTTCTCACTCTCCCTTTCTCTGTCTCTCTCTGGTCAAAATGGAAGAATAATGATAATAAATAAAATTAAAAGTAAATAAATCTTTTAAAAAATATATGATGAAGAAATAGAGAAGGGATTGTCATGTAACCACATCCCACTGGGGGGTGCTTTTTACCTCTCTCTCTGACTCTGTCTAGCAAGCCCATATACCCTCTGGCAATGAACAAAACTTATAAAAATTTCCTGGCCATTTTTTTTTGAGAGGTTTTTGCTATAGGGCACGTGTGCTCGCTAGAAAGAGAGACAGACAGAAAGCGAGAAATCATCCCCTGGGGGGATGGCCATGCTGCAATCCCTTCTCCTCCATTCTCCTCTTAGGATCTTGAGCATGCATACACACATGCCTGGCATGAGTTTAAGCCAATGGGTTCGGGACTCAAACCACAGTCAACTACATGAGAGTCCAGCAACGTAGGCATTATGCCACTGCTGGTCCCGCTGGCCATTAAGTTTTTAAAATAAATAAGAGAGTATAACAAAGTTAAAAAAAAATTGCAAGTATTGGAGAGCCACCAGCCTAGTGTTGAGAGTCTCAAAAGCCAGGCCTGAGGGTTCGCAGCATGGTGGATTAGAAAGAGGCAGGAAATATAGTAGTCAATGTCTGGTAGAGAAGTTGCAGTAGCCAAGCCCAATCCAGGTGCACTCCGGCCTCACCATCTTATGGGGGAGATTTAAGAATTAGGCCTGGAGGCCAGTGGTGGCTTGGTGGTTAAGGGCCGTGGACTCCCACATGGCTAACCATGGTTTGAATCCCAGACCTGGTGGCTTGTTTTCTCTTGCCCCACCCCCACCCCTGCTCACTCACTCTGTCTCTCTCTGGGAAAATTAAAGTAAATAAAGTTAAATAAAACAATTTTTTGGAGAGGTTTTTTGCTATAGTGCACGTGCGCTTGCCAGAAAGACAGAGAGAAACAGAGATAGAAAGCGAGAAATCATCCCACGGGGGGAATGGCCACGCCGCAATCCCTTCTCCTCCATTCTCCTCTCTGGATCTTGGGC